TTCTTTTCCCAAAAAAAAAAAAAAAAAAAAAAGTGGGTCAACGTTTAACTTTTTATTTGAATTTTAGAATATAAGTCCTCAGGAGTCCATACAATTCCAGATTACATGGTATGCTAATTTATCTACGCCTCATATTTTACCATAAAGTAATAGAAAAAAAACTTGGGGAAACAGTATACGTAGTACTTAGATACAGAGTTTAAATGTCACTAAACACTATTATGGGTAGTATAACTCACATAAATCTCATAGTGTGAAGAGTAAATTATATTGCATCCCTACTTTTTTTCTACTTACAATAATTCCTTAAAATTTGTACATTTCGGATACATAAGTCACCTCGGATACATTAATTCACCAACCAGATATATTAATTCTAATACTAGAAGAATCCTTCTGTTGCGCTAAAAGAAGAATAAAATCTGAAAATCTAATTAAATTACATTTACGTTTCTTCTTACTCTCAATCATACAGAGGCAAATCCTAATTTGAGATTGATACATTACCGTGTGGTAATTGCTATGTAATTGATACATTTAGTATAAATTCGAATTTACATATCATATCTAAAAAAATAGTTCATGATACATTACTATATATGTATCTCGTTTAAATTAATAAGTATTGTATTGTTACGGGACACATTAAACATGTAATTGTTGCCCATAAGTTGTTTGGTTTGAGTTCAATACATGTAGTATAAATTAGTATTTATGTATCATGTCTGTATAATTTGACGTAGATATGTATATACAAAAAAAATTATGAATATGATAAACAATGATTTAGTTATAAAATAGTATTGTACATACGTAACAAACATTTGATACATGGTCAATAAATTGAGCCTATTGTTTGTGTTTTCCTGTAAAAAAAAAAAAGAATTGGAAAGAAAAAAATAAATTAAGAACTACCTCTTAATTAACTTTAAATCATTAACTGGAGAGAAAAAATATTTAAAATTTTAAAAAAAGAATGATGGAGGTAACCGGTGATATAGAGGAGTGATTATAGGCATGAAAAAGGGAGAAAATCGTGGAGTTGGAAGATTGAAAGTTATGTATCTAGGAGAGAATTTGAGAAAAAAGAGATATTTTTGTAATTTTTAAAATGATAGGGAATAATAGAAAATAGGGTAAAAATAATGTGTAGTTAGGTAATTTTTCTTTATTGGTATGAACCAAGTTGGATCTATAAGGGCCTATAGGCTAGAATTGATAAAGAGACTAATTTAGTTGGAATTATTAGATCGAGTAAAATGTTGTATGGAATTTGAGACTAATTAGAAACTGGTTGTATTGTGTTAGAAAAAAGAGTTTCATGCATATTATGTGTAGTCTGATCCTCTCATCCCTTTCGTGAAACCGTCTCTTACCCCCAACTGATTACATATCTTAGTTCTTCAATTGTTTTACAATTTCCCTTTTGTTGTTTACCTTTCATAATTGTAATCCTTTTAATATTGAGATCAATATAATAGATAATATCTCTATTGTGAAATTGGGGAGTTGTTACAATTTCTCTTTTTTCTACTTTACTGATTCCAAAAATCAAATGAATAATTAAAGAAATAACATTTTCCTTTTAAGTTTCTACATGCACGTAATCTCCAAACTGATATAACATTTTTTTTAAAATCAAATATTATATATTCAAATTTATGATAAAATTAAAAAAAAAATCGACTTTCAAAATTCCTAAGATATTGAGCATAACAAGTAAAAGATTGATTAGTATAATTTGGACCACATGACATAGTCCATGATATTAAATACTTTAGAATTAAATAATGTGTTTCCAAAAAAAGTGAAGTGTGGATCACAATACTTTTTAAGTCTATTTTGGATAATCTTAGCACCTTGAGGACAGACAGATCCACATCTTCCAACAACCAAAAAAAAAAAAAAGGTACATAGCTTATCTTTATTTCAATTTATTAGTTTTGTTTATTTTTTAAGTTGATTTAAAAAACAACTCTTTTTTTATTTAATTTTAATATCCTATGTGATTTATTTAAAGTAATAAAATTAAAAAATATTTTAATATATTATATATATATCACCTATTAAAGATCACAAGATCAAAATTTTTGCTAACTTCTTAAAATTTCGTGTTCAACTAAACTAAGACAAATAAATTGAAATCGAGAGAGTATGAATATGTATTAGATGTCTTTCTAAATCTGGGAAATTTCAAAGGAAAAAAGGGAAGGGGTATTAGTCATATTTAACAATTCTGCAAAAGTAAAATTACAGTAAAAGATATAGTACTTAATTAAGGGTAATGTTAAATGGTCAGAAAATTAAAAGGTCTATAATATCCTTTTTATTCTAAAATAAACTGATCTTTTTTTCATTTTTTAATTAAAAGATATTAAAGTTAAAAGAGTAAATATGTTCAAAAAGGTAAAATAAAATAGTGTGAAATATGTTATTTTACCTGGCCAAAAGGATTTTTCCCTTAATTAAATCCAAAATATTTAGCAAACTGTATTTGCTTCAGAGCATTTGGACCTTTCACAAAATTGAGAAATCATTTATTATTACATTTGTTTTTTTTGTTTTTCAGTTTCCCCCTTACTTTTCCAGTAAGTGGAGCGTTACTTCACAAAATGAGATATTTAAGCAAAGATTAACGGGTCATTTAGAAAATCAACTCTTGTGATTAAAGACCCTTTC